GCAAGCAACATTTTGCACGTTATTACCGATTCACACGTCATAAACATTAGAGGTGCATTTGTCGTGCTCAAAAAAGATTTATGTCCATCTCGTGGGCTGTAACCACATGCAAACCACCGTGCAGCTCAGAAATCGGAGTCTGATTCGGTGACTGATTTTTCTTGGTGAAAAAATTTGTGATGGTTCGTATCAGCAAAACCTCAGTTTCGTTGCGACTTGGCATGACATCACGCTGCTTAATGAAAGAGCGGCGAGACGAACTGTTGGACCAGAAGTGGAGGCGGCTGGACGCTGGGCCCGTAATGCTTCTGGCGGTAAACTGCATTCGATTGGTGAGGCTGACTGTTCTATTAGCCTCAACGGTTTGACGGCACAAACCGCATGCTACCTGACGTCATGCACCGAAATTTATCTCACGGGACCTGGTCGGGTCAAAAAACTCAATCCGCTGGAGAAGTCAATTAATTCTATTTGCAACCTCACACGCAGTACCTGGAGGTGCAATGGAGCTAACTCACATCGCGAACCGTTCACTTGAAGACCTACTACAAATCGATGTATCTATGTTTGCTAACGAGCTTTGACGGTGCACAAAAGAAAGAGCCAGACTGTGGCTCCCCCGATCCCAAACTAGTTTTCGGGTCAAAACGTCCATCACCATATGCAGCCCCACCTATCGTTGACCAGGAATTGGAAGGCTGGTGTTCTCCAACGGACCAAGTACTTTGTTTAAGCCGCAACCATCGTGTCGGTGAAGGAAGCTAACGGAACCGCCTGGTATCAATAATGCACCGTATAAACATCAGTACCCTATGCTTGTTCCGAATCATTCACTCGCGAAATCGAGTAGGGGGGAATGCTCTGAAAAGATTGACTTGGCCGATGATTACCTCCAGGTCGAAATTGAGGGAGAAGCACAAGAATTTCTGACGATCGATAAGCACCGTGGTCTACTTTAGTATATTCGACTGCCATTCGGTATCGAAACAGTGCCATCCATATTTGAAAAGTTCATGGATAAGGTGCTGAAGAATGCATCCAGCGTAGCTGTCTATTTGGACGACCTCACTGTCGTGGGTTTCAACCCCAAGGAATTGTGGTAGCGTCATGGTTACGTGCCTGGTTGTATCCAAGACTGACGTAAGACTGCGCAGAGAGAAATGAAACTTCATGCGGTCGATAAAGTACCTTGGATTCATCATTGACGAACACGGCTGCCGACCAGAGCAGAATAAAGAAGTTATTAAACGTACACAGGCGCCCACGGACGTGGCGTGCCTCAGGACCTTCCTTGGCCTGATCAGCCACTATAGTTCGTTCCTGCCTAAGGTGCACCGCTTCCGAGACCCGTTAAACCAGCTACTTACCAAAGACCACAGGTGGACATGGTCAGAAGAATGCCAACGCACTTTTGCCTCGGTCAAATCCATGCTGAGTTCCTATTTGCTACTCACCCATCCATCCCTGGAAATCGTCGTTGCGTCAGATGCCTCGAACTATGGAATTAGCGCAGTGATTTCACATGTTTTCCCTGATTGTAGCCAGAAAGCTATTGAACATGCGGTCAGATCCCTGACATCAGCCGAGAGCCGGACAAAAAGGGCAATTCTCAAAATTTTGCCTGCGGTGTACTAAAGCATCCAAATCACCTGTGGAGTCTTATCTACGGTCCTGGCCGCAATCAACCGAACCCCGGTCTCGTCTTCACATTCACGGATTGATACACGGGATCGAGGGGGATCGAGGCTTTTGCCCAAGTTTCCCGGGTCGGTTTTGTTCTTGTCGGTCAGCGGCCGTCGTTCACCTGAATGGCACAAGTGAAAAAAGGGTGTAGCACTGCTCTTTATGTTCTCAGCGTGGGGCAGTATGCCTGCCAGCGCGAGGATTCGTATAAATAAATGTCTAATAGTGCTTTGAACTGGGTTCTAGAAGGAGCGCGGACAACCGACGGAGGAAGGTAATTCCACGCAGCTACTGCCCGAAATGATAAAAAATTTTGTCTAGTGAATATGTACGCTCCGAGCTTGAAAATTTTCTTACGATGTCCCCGCCGTGTGTTTGCTGGGTCAACGGTAAAAAACCTGTTTTCCAAGCTTTGTTTAACACAGGGCATAAGTAAGAATTAGGTCTTCCCGGAGGCGACGGTACTCCAGGGGAAAGAGATCAAGCATCGCGAGACGCGTTTCGTAGTCCACGGATTTGAGGCCGGTAACCATTCTCGTGGCGGCCCGCTGGACACGCTCAATGAGGTTGACGTCTTTCGTACGTCCTGAGTAGACAACTTGGTTGGCATACTCCAGGAGCGGTCTGACGTAGGTCCCATAAAGTATTTGGAAGTCCGTGCGAGTAATACGGGAGAAGGTGCGTCAGATCATTGGCCAACAATTTTAGGTCGTGGTAGACGCCTGCAGCAAATGTCTTGAATGCCTCCCTGTAAATAGCCCCACAACTGCCACTACAGTCCTGGAACTCCGATGATTGTTAAGTCGGTTTATAGCACCGGAGGCTATCACATCTGATGACGGCGTTCGCAAACTTTTGTCGGGAGTATGGCGTAACGCATGTCCGCTCGCCATCGTTTTATCCACTGGCGGAACGCTTTATCGACACAGAAGCGGGCAACTTAGAAGTACAGAAGAACGGCTTATCGGGAAGGATTTTGTAAAGCCTCTTGCTGGCATATTGAGCGTCGATGGCGTAGCACCAGCAGTGTCACCGCGCCGAATGAAGGTCCTCACACCGCATGACATCATCCGTCCACAGAAGAAGCGTGCTGGTCATTGCAACACTAGAATGAAGGAGCAGTTCAGCGGGTATCATGGAGCAATCGCGCACCAGCAATGGCGCATTCAGCGAAGGTCAGAGAGTGTTGATTTTTGACTAAGCGGCAGACGATCTACATGGTTTCCTGGACCCATCATTCACCGGCGCAGCAAAGTTCTCCTCGATGTGATTACGCCACACAAACCAAATCCGGGCGACAAACGCGTAGATTTTACCCATAGGGTCGAGTGAATGGAGTCTAGGGGCGCTTCTGGACCCTTTTGATTTCGGCACCATCCCATGAGATCCACCAACTACTTCGTCGGAGGACCAGCCTGAGCATGGATTACCACCGCGACGATGAGCAGACAGGATCCGCAGGGCAGCCATTGCAAGTAAACCCTAGGCTTCGATGCTAGGCCAACAATCATCAAGGGTGAGGTGTTACACCTACTCTACCGCTCGCAGCCAGGCGCTACCAGGACCGAGAAGCCTATCAAACCCAAGGTTGGCCGAAAGTTCAGGACGTTTGCCGGTATGGCGTTAAACCGAGATCCGATTGGTCTGGACCCAACAGCCAAACATGACCAAATATTGACTGAATGCCGGCTGCCAATGGCACGTCCAGAAGGCATCAGAATTTAGAGGAAGTTGTCGCCGCACACACTATATATATATATATATATGAAACGCTGTACAAGTGTTGTTGACTTTGTCTGGGCATTACTATACCCCGTGCACCTTTGGTGGTTGTTTTGACGTAAACGCTAACTTGGGAGGCTCAGACCGAGAGCCAAGCCGAGGAAGACACCAAACCACAGGGAGAACAGTTTGCGTGCACGCCTCAGTGCTGGAGGTTGAACCGCCGCCCGATATCGCCGCTTGAAATGCTCGCAATATTAAATGAGAACAACTCTAAAACCAATGAAGTTATCATTACCAATTGCAGGCATTAGCATCGGATTTTGAAAAACGACCTGTTGTCCCAAATGGTGGCTAGAGGGTCTGGCTAACGTTGTCGAAGCGGAGATCACTAGATGGTCTGGGAATTATGAAATTCGTATAACGTTTGTGTTCATGCGTGCAACGTTTCCGAAGCAACAACCGTGCTTTCTTCGGACCACCTAGCATGGGTATATCGGGGTACCTTCTGAAGTGAAATTCAAGAGTTCGGTCTTCCTCAGGGATAAAAAATAATTCAGTGATGGAAGTCTGCAGATGAGCTTGAAGTTTGACTTTGAACACTAAGACTTTTGGTCAGTGTTTTGCAAGCTGCAGCAGAGTGTGCACATATTGCTTTTGCTGGTGCAGTTGCACGTGCTCAAACTGCTTTCATCGATGCTCGTAAATCACCTGAAGCTGGTTCAATCAAATTGACACCCTGGGAAACCCGTTCCAAGTGTTGTGTCTCTGTGTTCGAAAGGTGATTCTGTAAGTTGGTCGTACTTATTTTATAGTGCTGGACAGTCTAGGTTTTTAAATGCGTGAATCTCAGGGAAGAAGACGAGCAAGACTCAATGAAGTTTTACCATACTGTGGATGAACCAAACAGAAGGTTGCCCGCAATACAGAATGATTGGAATGTATGCATCATTTTCCATGTCGGATTGTTTGGTAAGACATGGACGCCATAAAAGTTGCGTCCGAGTAGGATTGTCGATGAGAATACGGCACGCCAGTCAGCCACTGCTAAATAAGAGCACAATCCGCAAAGTGGAACTACTGCCACTAGACCCCAAACTGTTGCTTGAAGCTCCACTGGCCACTACCTCAATCGTGCCGTCCGCGACGGACCCATTGTTGCAACAGCGATATTGGACCCATCGGGTTGGAAAAGACTTGCTGCTTTTTCAACCCTCACCAAAATTCCTACGTTGAACGGCCAAAAGTGGGAGGTGTCAGGATGCTAAGATTCTTGAAAATAATCATAGTAGGACAGAAGATTACTCCCAGTTAGCACCGGTGCAGAAATTTCTGCAGAATGTCTGCACCCGGGTGCGGAACCAGTGCGGAAATGAAACAAGTTTCCGCCCAATATCCGCACCCGGGTGCGGAAATTTCCGCACAATATCCGCACACTTCTGCACCCGGGTGCGGAAATTTCCGCACAACATCCGCACATTTCTGCACCCGGGTGCGGAAAGTTCGTACCCAGTACCGGGATTTCCGCACCCAGTCCGCACTTAGCTAAAGTCGTCCGACGCGCAAATGTAGCCCATCATACGGACTTATCTCTTTCAGCGATGAACGATTTCCTTTATTTGTCGCGGATTTGTGTTCGGAAATTTCTCAGTTGTCGCGTCTGTAATGAAGAACATAGTTATTGAGCTTCATCCAGACACTGATTTAACTAGCTAAATATGAAATAACAATTGACTACTTACAAATAAGTCCTTGGGCCAGCCTGGTTGGCCCGAAGGCTTCTTTGTCATTTATTCCGCGCCAGTTGAGTAGTACGGCCAGCCTTGGAGCCAACGTCCGCGTAAGCACGTTGGTCACGTACACTTGTACATCGCCAGCCTCCTGCAAGAGCCACCTTTCCACCTTTGTGAAATCAACACTCGTGACTACAACTGATACTTACCAGCTGTGCATAGCGTGGACCATCTCTTAGATGTTCCTCATACTCTTGGAGATCATCCATGGATGAAAGCGGACGAGGGGGCTCGTTGAGTGCCTCAGAACTGCTAGTGGTACTGAAGCGTCTATCTTCGTGTGCAGTCTTTGGAGCGACGAGTAAATCCTCTCTAAATTCTCTATAAGATAGTTTAATTAGAACATGGTAATCTACTAACTGAGAATGAGGTTGGCCAGATCCGGGGAAATTACGCTGGCCTTGGAATTTGGAGGGTTAGTTCTGAAATGTAAAGTACATGGAATGTTGAGAAAACTTGGGGATCGGGGTAGAACTGCGTGGTTCTGGATCGCCCACGGCGGGAAGTGTTGAATACGTGGAACTGCTGATAGATTGTTTGATGGTGGTAATGAAATAAAACGTACGTTCCACATATCACCGGGGCATCACGAGGGACGGATGGCGCGTCTCGAACAAGAATGAGACTACTAACCTTTGCAGTCGGATTGGTACATCTGAAAATGAGGATTTTGCAAATTGAAAAGTTCGTAGGTGTGAGGACCTACAGCCTTTTTGGACTTGGTGTGCTCATGACTATGTTCGCAAACAAAGTGGTGTCAGCACGGGAATCACGATCCGACCCGCCCGCAAAATCAGACGGCAGCCGTTTCTTTGCACTGCAACCATTGTAATACGATTCATAAATATACTGTTTTTGCCTGGATTGACGAGCCAGCCTTTCATCGTTTTGCTCCGCGGAGGAGGTATGCCCTGAGTCAAGGGCATCCTGCTGAGCACTCAGTGCATCCGGAAAAGTTTCTAGGATCTTTTTAACTGAAAACGAACTTACTGCACTGCCGATACACTCCGTACGTGCACGACTTGAGTGGACATTTCGGTAAAGTACCCTTCAGTAAGTTGGCATAAACAGTGCTGGTTGTAGCGAGGGCCAAAGGACTGAATCGGGCGGTACGAACCACGATTCATGCACTATGCCAACAGAGTTGTCCGCAAATATGAGCACAGGGTACCTGGCTGAAAAACAACTTCCAAATACGACATTTAACAGCAGAATGACCACATGCAAACGGAAGTTTTAATGGAATAACATAACACCAACGTAAATATGTATATATACTTTACGAACTAATGAGTAAAACAAGTAATAAACGAATACATGTGTTGAGTGACAGTGGTAAGATTACTGACTAATCGATGAGGGCATGCAAAATGGGGAAGTATATACGAGTGTCTGTGCGGGAAAAACTTAAGCATTTACAAGATGTTTGGTCGACTGATGCAAACAGCCGAGTGTGTTGCAAGTCGGAGCAGTGAAAAACTAAAACGTCCGTCGAAATCAATACGTGAGTGTAAAACGGGAGAACGGTTTTGAATTTCTGGTACACAATAGTATCTTTAGAAAAATCTACAACGACAGCTGACTGACTATCAAGCAAAATGCAGTTGTCGGGAAAGTTTTTCGAAAAAACGACATCCATATGAATAAACCTGCGACATCCGGCAGTGGCCAATGGCCTAAGTCGCAAACCAACATCATCCAAAAATACCTTCCTTTCGACAGCATCTAATCCCACACGCTCGGACAGTCGGTGGTAGAGCTGAACGGCCGGTGGTTTTGGACCATATATGTAATGCTTCAAATGACCCAACTCCGATTCATAGGGAAAACAGGAAAAACGATCCAAGCAAACATAAAGCTTGACGAAATTGATCAAATGGGAGAAGAGGTGTATGTTGTACACTAAATGGCTGGGACCAAAAATAGCAGCAAATTTTGACACAGCAACCTTGGAAACATCAATTAAAAAATTAGCATAATGTTGTGAAAAAGGTGAACAGCCTATGAAAGTGGTTACCGAAAAATACATGAAACATTCGTAAACGTCAGGATGTAAGATGTCTCGTAAAACAACGGGGCCTATGTACAGAAGAAACTGTCGTAGCTCAGATGCTTTCCTCCGATCCAGGTCTACGGCACCTCTACATTTTCGGAGGAAATCAATACTCAGAGCCAAACTCTGTTGCTCAATGTTATCATTCAGCAGATTCCAGGACTCCAGAGAAAGCCCGGCCTTGTGTCCAATTGGCATAGCTCCGAGTAAGATGAGAAATTTCCGCACTAAACCAAGACACACGCTGTGCGTGTAATCTGGTGGGAAACCGTCAATCATGGGAAAATTTAACTCCTTCATCGGACTTGGACCTATATGGTGGTTCTCTTGCTTTCTGGTCCGGTAATCATAGTCACGACGCAAGGGAGCTGTCAACGAGGGAAAAGTCACACGTGTGCCAATGTGCGCACCCTTTTGTGTACAATAATCACAGTCATAATATCCTGTAGGTCCCTTCACTTGCTTCAGAAAGGCCCTAGCAGGACTATCACAAATAATGCACTGAAGACGGACGGTATGAGTATTGCAAACCCCGGACGTCTATCAACTCAGAGACCGTGTCAGGCATCAGCTGATGAGCATCATTGGGTTTTCGCTTACCACAGTATATTCCCACGACGAAAGGCTGACCGAGAAAGGGTGAAATTATCCGAGAGATTATAGGCCACACCTGAGTATGCGAGTTGTTATAGGCCCGATACCGTCAACGTTAATTTGAATTTCGATATTTGTAACCGTAGTCTGGATGTCACGGAGCTGTTGCAGCAAACCTGCTTTCAACCCAAGGTGGATGTACACCCCACCGGCCTTCTGTCGCCCGCAGAAACGACGGGGGGTTTTCATTACGGTCCGTGGATCCTTCGGAAGAGACGGAAAAAATATCGGAATTCGTCCAACACAACGGCCAAACCAGATAAAGGTAGGTTCAGCCTTCGCGCCATCCGACGAACAGCCGTTAAAATACTTCTACCTGGTTGTGAGTGGTTTAAAAGGGATACTGATGAAAGGCAATATAAGTGCAAGCAGAACATACGGACTGATCCCTTCAACGACTTGAAGTGGGTTACCTTATGGCAAAAAACAGGAACCGAAGGGTTCTCCAGGGATCGCAGTGGTGAATGTCTTTCTGGCTCCAAAGTCCTGATAACAGGGATCGGGGAAACCGCCGGCGGACATCGTGGCAAATCGCAGCCTAGTTTATCACCTGGAACGGTCAAATTCGGCATACCTACAGCCTATCATCTGATTAATCATGAATCTTACCCTCAGATAGTCTACTAAAGGCATTATGGACGCATTCATCAGTCGGGCAACGAAAACAGCCACTTGCCGCAACCGCCTGTCGTACTCCCCTATATAGCGTTGTTCTTGGACAGCCTTTACGAGCAACACGAACAAATTTCGGGCGCATTGACGGTTACTTGAAATGAAAAATACTTTTTACTGTATCGTTCACGTAAACACACCAGGAATAAAACATATGAAAGCGCAACAAAACTCACTCTCAGCCGTACGTGAGGAAAAGCAGAACGCAGAGCTTCCCGCGAGCAATGGCGCCGTACAGTAAAACAAAACCACTTAAATCGGTTGGCCGTTTGCATTTCCTAGGCACACGGAAATGCAGGGTATTGTGGTTCTTTATTACTGTGAGACGAATAAAGAAGCTTTGATGTCTATTGAACGTCTCAAGCTCCCGAGGCTTAAAAGCCGAAAATTAGTGCATAAGTTCTGCACTAATTCCGCACAGGTTCTGCACCCAGGAGCGGGCACGTGCTAACTGGGCTGAAACCATCAAACTGTGCCCAAATCGCCGTACGGAATCCTTCAAGAATCAATGCCAGAAAAACCAATTTGATGACCATTATCCGTACAATTTTTTCAACCGCAAAAACCCTTACAAGTAAAGTAAAACTTTCTTCTTTTAGGTATTGAATTTTGTAGCGTATGTGCTCAAACCGAAAACCGTCCTAATCTACGTTATTTTTTGCAGCTCACCTACTCTCATTGTCCACTGTGGCAACCATGCATCCGGCTGAGAAGACTTGCGGGATAATTTTCCCGCATCGCTGGGACCCCGGGATGCCTAAACGGGGCTTAAAAGTTTGGACAGGAACTCTCAATTCAATTGCCCGATTGCTTTAATCCATCAGGGACTCATCATAACTTTCGAAAATTCAATTCCATTGTGCGAATACTGTGCGCCCAGTTAGCCAGCAACCGCCGACGACGCTCGATTTTGCGGGCGTGGCAGAAGCTAAGACAGCCAATCACGCAGCGATCACAGCCTGCAGTCAAGGTCAAAAGTGAGCCTGAAACACTTCAATGGTTGTGTAGCTGTCCACTCGGTTGTTCGCGACAGAGCTGTTGTATTCCTTGTTGGTGAGTCTTTTTCCGACATATAACTACCGAAACAGAGATTTCAGTTCGTCACAATAGTCTAATAGTAAGTTAAATGTTTCATATCAACACCAGACTTGATTCAGCGAGTGACCTCAATAAACCGATTAGCGGCGGTCATGTTACTACGGGCTTCCTCTGAAGAAGTGTGGTCTACGTACACACTGAAAAATTCTGCCTTGGGCACCGACCCTTTGGAAACGCTATTTCTGATTAGGTGCCATTCTCAATCCTTATTGATGTGCTTCGTAGGCGACGCTGTAAGTTGACCCATTAGGAAAGAGCTCTAAACTTTATGCGGTAACGAACACCCAGCCCATCTTGTCGCTGTATGACATTGATGTATGCTGTACAACTCCGAAGACATCGATGGTCAAACGCCTAAAGTCTTTTGAGTGCTCAGCGTGCAACGCCCAGGTTTCTGATCCGTATGGCTCTCTGGCTCTCTTCCACCCTTCACGTGGTTGTGCGAAAAGAGCCCTTCGAGGAAGTCGGTCGACTGGCATACGCAACACGTGGCCAAACCAGCGCAACCGATGCAGTGTGATCAGTTCATCTATCGAGAGTGAGTTATTTCCCCCGGATACCATTCGACGTACTTCAGCATTGCTGATCTGGTGTTTCCATCAGATTCGGACAATGCTCCGGAGACATCGATGGTCAAACACTGAAAGTCTTTTGACGTCCCCAGCGCGCAGCAGTCAGGTTTCTGATTTTAGTAATATTGAGCGCACAGCAGCATTGTAAACTCGACCCTTGACAGATGAGCTGATGTCACGCCTACGCCACAGGTGACGCAGGTTCACAAAAGCTGCTCTGGCCTTCCCAATCCGGATGGAAATATCATGTTTCGCCGGGCTAACGGGACTGATACAGTTCCCCAGGTAAACAAATCCGTTTTTACCTCAATCGGTTCACCCTATAGGGTTCGAACCCACCCAGTCTTGCAGTAGCACTTCATACTCTGCAGGTGTGAATCGCATGCTTAACAGTTAGGCGAAGTTACTTAGATTATTTAATATTGATTGAATTACTATGGGGTCAGATCCAGTAAGAGCTATGTCGTCTGCGCACCCGATATCTCTGAGCGGACGCCCAGGGAGAACTTCGACCCACAGGCATTAGAGACTGGTGGTGAGTTTTCTATGGTCGTATCAATGACGAAGTAGAAGAGGAAAGGTGAAAGAGTACAGCCCTGTCTGACGCCACTTAATCTGGTGAACTCAGGCGACAGCTTTCCGTAGACCTTCACACGGCCGCGGGAGTTGGCGTACAGTGCCTTAAGGAGCGTCAAGAATTTATGGGGGACACCTATGCTCCGCAAACACGGCCATAGCTCCTGCCTATCCACAGAGTCAAAAGCAGCTTTCAGGTTAAGCAACACAACCATTGTTGGTTGCTTGAAGCAGTGTCGCTGTTCCAGAATTTATCGGTGGCTGAAGATATGATCGGTGCATCCTCTTGCAGGACGGAACCCAGCTTTACCTTCACGGACCTGTCTCTCTCTTTCTGTGTGTGTGTGTGTTCAGTTCACCTTCGAAGGATAAAACCAGAGAGCACCTTCGATGCTACAGCTTATATACTGGTGCCACGGTGGTTTTCGCATAACATCCGCGTACCCTTTTTGAATATAGGGATAACTATCGACATGCCCCATTCTACAGGCACTTTCTCTTCGCTCTGTATAGCGCCAGTAATCTGTCAGATGGATCGCCAGGGATTCTCCGCCTTCCTTGAAGAGGGCTGGATACAGAACGTCTAGTCCAGGTACCTTCTCACGTTTCAGCACAGATATTTCGTACTTTATTTCCTCTTCCGACGGGTGATCACTGTTTACATTCCACTCGCCCGTATGCACTATCTCTACAGGCTTTGTTACAACAGGCCGGCCATACTGTTCTTCGGAGTGTTCGGCCCATCTCTTTAGTCGACACTTTTGCGAGTGAATTAATGAGCCATCTTTCCCACCTATCGTTTCGCTGACCGTTGTTTTCCTAGGGCCAGTCGATCGTATCAGTTGATATAGGACAAGGCTCTTTTATATGGACAAAGACTTCTCCATCCCCCAAGCTTTCGATGTCCACCAAAGCTCTCGGTTTTTCTTCAGACTCTTCAATATTTGGCGTTTGAGGGTTTTGCGTACGCCGTCGTACTCTTTGCCTGTTTGTATGGCTTCCCTGGCATCGATCGTGGATGGCGATCTCGTCGAGATCCAGTGGTCTTGTGGTCGAATCGGAGAGGTAGGACGGACAGCACTGAACGCCGCTAACATGGCAGCTTTCACATTTTGGCTACATTTCATCCAGAGTATTGGTTTGCTGTGGAAAGTTGCGCCAGCTCAGATCGGTACTGTTGAGCTATCGTCGTTCTTCGGAGATAGTAGATTGGCATGCTTCTTGCTAATCCACAAGGGCCTGAAGGGAAGTGAATTGTCAGGCATGCACACACCATGGCGTGATCGGAATCAAGTAGTGTGCCCCAGAAGGAACGGCAGTCTTGAATTGGGGCTCCACCAGTGGCTGATGGCCACGTGGTCCAACTGCGTCCACGGTTGATTTGCAGTTGGTGGTCGCTAACCGATGGTTGGCTAACCGATGAGAACGTTGATGTTGAAAATTCGGCTCAAAAGCCTGACCGCAAAGCAGTGCTGTTTGACTTGTAAATGTTTACGAAACAAGTCGCATGTTCCAACACATGTTCCAGCCTCCAGCACGGATGTCCAAAAACTGAGTTCTTTGGACGTCTAACCACTGACCAACCCGCCAGGAGTGTCGCGTGGACATCCCCAGTATAGCTCGGTGGGCCGCGAAGGTGGTGATCGGTGGTGCTTCCAACAGGCATTCGATTTTCCAGAGTGCAGTCGTTCCATCTGTTTATCTTCACTATCCGCTGTACTCATCAGTCTGTTGTGGTTGTTCTGCTGTATTGGACATCACAGAGATAACGTTATTTTTGTTATCTTAGCTGACCCGTTGGGTGACGGAATTCCGGAATAGACAACAACTACGTAACCCTGTTATGCACTATACACTAACGCCATCGCTCAATTTGTCGCACCCGAATAACTTATCTACATTATACAACCCACCACTAATTCAGAATCAGAATCGGATTTTTCAGAAGAGCAAAACTGTTCCGTACACTACATCGATTATGAAAATAAAAAAAATGATGAGGCAAACTTCGGTAGCTTCGTATATGTCTCTGATCAAGGTATCATGTCATTTATGTGAACAAGGAAACTAAGGGAATTTCTCCACAGTAACTATCTCGGCCAGAAACGAGTCCAGTTTGAATTGTATGTGGGGATTTGTTTTAGATAGGTAAGACTGTGTGCAAATCTGTGATCGTGGAGCACGTTATCCAGAAGTGGTGCGCTTAACTTGAAGGGTTGGCCCCTTGTAATGGTGTTCTCTTGAACATCAAACAGGAACGGAAGACTGGGG